TGTAGCAATCCTTCTTCGTGTGCCCTTTCTTCTTGCAGTAGTTACAAAAACTGATTACTAAACTTCGACTTCAATTTGCCCTTTCCAAAATCACCATGAGCAACAAGGCCATCTCTATCTCTGGCCTCAGAAACCAAATGCTTCATTCTTCTCTTTCGAATATAAAGCATCATACATCTTCTCTATGGTGAGAGTATTACGACTATACAAGATCCTGTTTCTAAATGAAAAAATTGCAGCGGGCAACGAATACAATAAAATCAAAGCCAAATCTTTTTCATTATACTCTACTTCTAAAGTTTCCGAATTAGTGACGATCTCTGTAAATGCAATCAGGTGGTCCTCTAATAATCCTCCTTCAGCCATTCGATAAGAGTATAAACGCTGCTTGAGGTTTAACTTGCTTGTTGACTTTTGGTCATGCACAATTGCTCCAATTTCAACCATAAAGTAGCTGCTAAATTTTCCTTCAAAACGTCCTAAAAAATATTATTTGATAGATGAAGATGAATGTGAGAAATTGCATTATTATCCTTTTGTAATTTCTTCTCCGCGGTCAAAGTTGAGGACATCTTGTCAATTCCTAGCAACGTATCATCCAAATCTAGTTGTACGAGTACTGCACGCATCTAAACACGGCATAGCGAAGATCCAAAAGCGGAATGTCATACTTCATGGAAGCCATCACGAACAAAAAATCTCGAACAAATCAAACATTGCGCTATATGGAACTGTTGAACTTAAGTTCTGATACCACTTATTGTAGAACAAACAAGATATCACTTGTTGTGAAACCAACCACTAGATTGAGATGTTGAAATTATATGGCACACTAATAAAGTATTTGATCAAGCAAAAGAATAAAGAAGACAAGAATATGGTAGATAAATTATGAGATTTTATTGACTCAATAATAATGGAGAAGATAGAAAATTATATGGATCCTATAATTTTAGTAATCATATATCTCACACCTTTGAATTATATAGAAGAACCTAGTATTTATAGAAAACATGTAGGGCGACGTCCACACCCTAATAGATTAGTTGTAGTTGAAGTAGAATACCAAAAAATGTGTTAAAACGCGAAATGACCTTGGACAGGATAACATTGTCGNCGTGAAAAATCTGAATAGGTACGGGTGGCACCGCAGCGCCACCTCTAGGCGCCCCGGTGCTGCGGAGCCGGGCGTTCTACCCAAAACTTTTTCTTTTCTTCCAAGTTATTTTTTCCATCTCGAACCCTTCTTCAAGTCTAATACCAATTTCCAACTCACAATGGACTTCCGAAATAGAACTTCAACTTAACATAGGATTCCAATAGCATTCCAAATTGAATTCTTCTTGACGTGCACTTCAATTAGAATTTTTTAATTACTTTAACAACTTCAACAAAGGAATTCGGGTCACACCCTAATTCCAACAATATGTAAGCCAAGAATTTCTTGGAATATATATAGAACCCAAAAGAATATGTTTTAGATGGAAATAGTATTACAAAGGAACCAAAAAAATGGAAACAAAACTTTTCCAAATAAAGCTTCTACTCTTGAGCTAGGTGCTCAGGAGGTAAACAGCGCCAAGAAAGCAGTAGCCTAGCACTATCATGGGGTTCAAGCGCTGAGTTTCGGTTCCAAAATTTGTTTCTTGGCGCTTAGTTGTTGTTCCAAACTTTCAATTGTAAATTTTGATTTCTTTTTAACTCCTTTTTCAGCCGAAATACGAACTAATGCTGAAATTTGGGTCACATATTCAACAAAAGTTAAATGGTGTGTTGACATCCGTACATCACTACAAAAGAAGTAGAAGAAAATAAAGGGACAACACTGATTTTTCTTACTTTGATTCTCATGCGAAATTAGGAATGGCAATGGGGGTGGGGTGGCCGCCCCCCGCCTCGCTAAGAAATTCCCCACCCCATTATTCGTTTAAGGCGAGGCGAGGATCTTGCCCCATTTACTACCCGTTAATTTTTTTTTATAATTTACTTTTGTTGCCCATATTCATTAGATTTAGACAAATAATTTTAGTTGCTATTTTCTATTAGAACTAATGAAAATTTTCATTTAAAGTATTGAATTCTAAAAAAAAATAAAAATTAACGGGACCTCCCCGAACCCGGCTTATTATTCGTTTAAGGCGAGGCGAGGATCTTGCCCCATTTACTACCCGTTAATTTTTTTTTATAATTTACTTTTGTTGCCCATATTCATTAGATTTAGACAAATAATTTTAGTTGTTATTTTCTATTAGAACTAACGAAAATTTTCATTTAAAATATTGAATTCTAAAAAATAATAATAATAAAAAAATTTAACGGGGCAAGGTCCCCGTTACCCGTCCCCACCTCGAACCCGCCCTGAATACCCGATTAAGCAGGTTATGTCAGCCCTGTTCTTGGCGAGGCCCGCGGATATCTGGTTTGTCAGATTTTTTTGCTATCCCTATGCAAAATAGAGTACATAATTAATATTCGTTGTGAAATTATTGTAACATTCGTAAATTATTTAATTTTATTGAATTTGCCATTTGGCAAAAACAATAAATCTTGAAAGACTTGTTAGGTTACTGATTTATGCTAGTGATAAATGTAGATTAATTAATCCCTGGTCCCATTCGTTACCTTATTTTTTTTACCATCCAAAAGGGTATTAACTTGGATCTTGATAGAGTAGAAGTCACAATTATTATGTAAAATCTACAATTGTTTTTATTTTGAATCACAAAAAATAGTGAACTTAAATACTTTTAAGCATTTATAAACACAATCAAATGTGTGCTTAGGAGGCAATTGGCTAATTGAATTATCCTAATGATCGACAACGATTAAGAAACCGAAAATGACTTTATCATTCTAGAAAGTTCTAATTTGATGTTAGTCGCATAAATATTTTTTTAATCATATATTTAATTTCACCCACAATTTTCTTTCATTTTTTAATCTTTCGTTTCAAGGGATCCACCACTTTTTATTAACTTTATGTGCTAAAAATCTACATCAAATAGATACTCAATTCAATCGTGTCTTGCATTTTAAGCTAAATTGGATGGCATTAGTTCCATCAAGCAGCTGTTTTAATTATTCTACATAAAATATAACTTATAATTTATAGCGTATTTAGGGATTGTTTGAGTTCATTTTTCTTTTTCTTTTTTTTTTTTAATTCGTTTTTTCAAAACTCATTTTAAAACACACATTCCCTTTTAGATTACGAAAACGTGATTAAAAAGTAAGAAAATATTTTAGATTACGTGTAGAACTATTTTATTGTGAGAATGTACCATTAAAAATGAATTTGAAAAAAAAAAATTGAGTTATAAAAAAATGTGGCTCAATCAAGGGTACTGAATTCCAATTTTTTTTTTTTTTTTACGATTAAACAACTTAATTTATTTATACTTTCTTTTGATTAAATCACTTTGTTATACAGTTAACTTGTCAAATCGAAAATTTTTATGAATGTTGACATGACAAAATAAATCATTAAATCTAATCTTTATAATAATCAACTTCACGTCTTCTATTATCCAACAAATTTGGACGGAATCATTTGATTGACAAAATCACCTAAAATTGAAGTACAACTTCGATAATCACAACAATCTTTATATTCTCGCAACCATTGATAGGGTTAAAGCAACATTTAATGCTAAATGCAATGATAATCGAGGATCATGCTTTGATTGCACGCATGAAGATTCCATTCAACATCGCTTGTCTTTTTCTTCGAGCCTTTTCTTCACCCTAATTTATCCCGAGGTAGGTCTAGCACGTGACAAAATTAATATAATGACTTATGAAGGCAAATAAGTAACAAACATAATGTTGGTAGGTGAGAGTAGGCCAACAATATGATGATACGGATGATAACAAGCTGGCCTGCAAACCCTTTATCTGAATGCCACAATAAAAATGCTTAATTTGAAAGCCATCCAAAGTCCCCCTTTCTTTTCTTTTCTTTTCTTTCTTTTTTTCAACTAAATTGTTTGTCCTAATGGGATGGGATAGAATTGTGCACGTAATATCCAACTCGATAGAACTTTTTCTTTTATATGATAAAAGATCATGTGATAGGCACGTGACAAATGACAATAGGCATAATCGTTTAAAAATAACTTTCATCCACTTTGAAGACATCTTTGACAAATATGAACCTTAGAAGTATACTCTGCATCGATTGTGCCAAGTGTATATAATAAGTTTACATAATTGTTTATCTACATATGATGTGATGGTATATGTTTGTGTCAGTTTTTCATTCAGATAAAAAGGAAAAAAAATTCAAACTCCTCATCTGTATGTAAATCATTGTATAATTAAATAATATTATTCGCGCTGCATTTATATATAGCAAAATGTGGATTTCCCACTTTAGCAGTATTCAAAGTGGAGAAAAATGACTTTTGGACAATTATATCAATCGGTAATTTATTATGTGCCTACTACATTTCTTTTTATCGTCTAAATAGACAATTGTCGCTAAATTGGGATATCGTGCTTACAATTTTGAAAGGTTGAGATAATGGGGTGATACAAATAGAAACACTAGGGACCGTAGAGGAATTTTGTGTCAAAAATGTATAGTATGTATCACAAAAGTTTTTTGTAAAATTCGAAGAATGCTTTTATGACCCTCAACCAATTGACGTACTATTTTACTTGCCTTACTTTTTATAAGTTGGTCTGCTTGGGAAAGGTTCGAGATTTTAATTGCTCTGATGAATAACTAAAGAATATATTCAATGGAAAGAGTAAACATGATAATATAATGGTATAGATTTTCAAAAGAACTAAATTCCGTAGCCTAAAAAATTAGAAAAATGAATAAGGCAAATGTAGAAACATCTTTAACTCGAAGCACCGTAGTGTAATTAGCCATAATCTTCGATCTACGCCGTCGTTTTATCCTTCCCTAATTGTATCTGCCTCGAGCCCTTTCTGCAATTCTGGGGGATTTCCCCTTGTAATTCACTATCAATCTCACCGTATGGTATCAGAGAATGTCGTTTATAATACTAAAAAGATTGCGAAACCAGAATTCATCACTTATAATCAATAATCCCGGTCTCAAAATTCACTTATATACCAGTTTCTACTCATCTCTCTCTGAACCCCGCCACCGGAATTCTCCCACTCCGATTTATAATAAGTCAATTCTAGCATCTGGGCATGTCTTTTTGTGCAATAGAAATAATTGGTTTTCTTCACTTTTACGTGAAATTTTGAATATCCCATGTGTGCCTGTTTCTGCGCGTTTATTGAGTTCACAGGCTGCAGTTGAGAAATCCACTTCTGATGGGCTCACGGTGGAGGGTATAATTGCTAATGGTTGGAACATATATGATGAGAATGAGAGTGATTGGAAGAGCCATGCCTCTGCCATCGCTCAGTCAATTCATCTTATCAAGAAACGCCTGAGGGTACTGCAACACATCCACAACATGTTTCCATATGTTATTTGGTTTATCATTTTCTCTTAATCTGAATGAGACTAGGTTCATTGACACTCTGATGATTTGGACTGAATCTTACTAATGTTCTGTGTTTAGATTATTTGTCCAATTGTTTTCATGTTTCAAATGCAACATTTGTTTTTGGTTAGTTGCCAGATTGGATGTTTCAAATGAAATGATTGCCAAGAATCAAGCAAAGTTCACTGTTTGCATTCTAGGGATGGTTTTGGATTTGAAATATAACTGTATATTTGAGATAGAGTTTTCTGTTATATGGTCATTAGTGAACATGACTGTTTTGAGAGAAACTTGTATTATTAATGTCCAGACATGTGAATGGTTTTAGAGAAATGCTACACGTACAGGCTGTTTTTGCAGCCTAATTTACAGAATGCCAGGTGGCAAGAGTTCATTGGATTTTGGTAAAAAAAAAAGTTAAATCAGCCAATGAGATGCTGCCATCTCAGCACCTGTAAACCCATATCTACAAAACATATGTACAAGTAGCATTTTTGATGGTTTTAAACTATTATGAGTTTTCAGTTTATTGTGGTATTAACAATTAAAGTTGATCATTTTCATCCTTATTTGGTGGCAGTGGAAAAATTTAATACCCAAGTTGGAGACATTATCTGATCAGCTAAGTAAGCCAGACCTATGGAATGATCCAGTACATGCTGGGAAGATAAGCCGTGAGCACGGTTCACTTATGGGGAAAATGAAAGAGGTTGATGCATTTGAGCAAGAACTTCTTGAGCATATTGAAATGATAAAACTTGCTCGGGAAGAGAACGATGCAGAATTGGAATCGGTGGGGCCTCAATTATTCTCTTTCTGGGCATGTATCTTTCTGTTCTATTTATAGTTTTTCACATTGCTTCTACTTTTGGCAGGAAACAACTCATTTCTATTGTTTCATTATTATTCCTAAATTCATTTGGACTCATTAACACTATACGCATTTATCAAAATTAATTGAATTCATGATTAAAGCTTGTTGGGGAAAAAGTTAATTGTGTATAGATTTATATTTAATATAGTGAAATTAAATTAAATAAAAAGAAATTAATTACACGATAATTTAAATACAGGAAAATGTAGTTAGAAATGCTGGGCTTTTGGATAGTGGCGTAGAACGTGTTATCTTCTCCAGTTGTAATCTTTATTCACATTCATTTTGGTGGCATTTTGGTTTTGGGGATGATGTAGTTATTGAAACTGTGATTCTTCTGCATGAGTTACTTGCAAATTAACTTATTATTCTCCTAATTACAGGAATCTCAAAATGCTCTACTTACGATGAGAAGAAATATCAAGGAAAAAGAGCTTGAAGCATTGTTAGCTGGGGAGCATGATTCTTGTTCTTGCTTCATAGAGGTAAGTTTTATGAATGGGCATTTTTTTTTGTGCTTTTAAAATATCAATAGAGAGTTGCTTCTGATTTTTTATCCCCCGTAAAAATGTGTAATTGTTTGTCAATTCTTAATGGATTCTATTGCCTGTTTGTATGATTATCAGGATATGATTGCGCTTGAATCATTTTGGTGAAAACAATCTTTTTGAACTAATTATAGGTTCAAGCCGGAGCTGGTGGTACCGAGAGCATGGACTGGGCTTCAATGGTCATGCAGATGTATAAAAAGTGGGCTGAGCGTCGAGGCTTTGGAGTTTCCGTCGTTGATGAAATGCCTGGTGAGATGGCAGGAATCAAGGTTCATGTTCTTACCACCTTTATGTTTTTAACATTTAGAGCCTGTTTGGTGCACATTAAAATGAAAGAATGTATTTTTTTGAAGTGATGTGATGGGGAATATATGGTTGAAAATGAAGGAAAAGTTATTGATGTGATGAAAATATTATTTTATTGAAGAATATGTGGTTAAAAATGAGTAGAAGATTGAGAATAAAAAAAATACTGTGGGTCAAACAGGGGCTTAATATATTTTTTGATGTTCTTAATGGAGTCCCGTGGAGCAATATTTCCTCTTGGGCGGCAGTTGATTGTCGTTTCGCTTTATGATAAACCTGGTTCATAGGAAGTAGAGTGTATTCCATAACCAGTGCTTTGTGCCTCTCTTCCAAATATTAGACGACGTAAGATATTATCATGTCAGTAACTTCAAACATAAAACAAATCACTTTCGTTATTATCTTGTAATATTTATTCTCATTATATTTGTTTCCTTGTCTTCACTATATTCACTTTTAATGGGACACTATCAGAGTAACCATATATGCGAATTTCACTCAAATTATTTATGTTATTTTCTTGACAATTTCTATTAATTTTCTAAACTTTACACAATTGCATCTTTAAGCGAGCAACAATCAGAGTTGATGGCGAGTATGCATTCGGATATGCCAAAGCTGAAGTTGGGGCACACCGTTTAGTACGTATCTCACCGTTTGACAGCAATAAGCGCAGGCATACATCATTTGCTTCTGTAGCTGTAATTCCAATTCTAGGCGATGGATTTTCCCGTGTGCAAATTAATGAATCCGACCTTCGAATTGAGCGATTTCGAGCTGGGGGAGCTGGGGGTCAGCATGTTAACACTACTGAAAGTGCTGTGCGTATAACTCACATTCCTACTGGAGTAAGTGCCTCTTGTCAAAATGAAAGGTATGCAGCCTTTTCTGGTAAAAAAAGCTGAGTTGCCCACTTATACTGTTGTTTCACTTTGGTCGCCAAACTCTTTTTTCCTCCCCAAATTAATCACTAATTTTTCACTTTTTCAAGTTTAGACACAGTCTGCTAAATTAGCAGAATTAATTAGGTGACTAACAAACACTGTAAGTCTATAACAGGACTTGAAAAATCACCAGTGCATGGTTTTTTATTGTAAAGTGATCTACTTTCCGGATACCCGGAGTCTCTCCCTCTCCCACCATGATGTCAGCATTTTCATTAATTTGGCAAATTGAAGCAAACGGATTGCCTAAATTGAAACAAAAGTAGAAGTTCAGTGACAAATTTGGAGCTTGAAAAAGTTCGATGACCCAAGTGAAACAACTTTATAGTTGGGTGATGAACTGTTTTTATCGCCAACCTTTTCTAATTCAAGAAATGAAGCTGTGGATAGCCTTTTTATTGGAAGTTATGGACTTGTTCCGGAAACAGGTCACAGCATCAAAACAAGGCTTCTGCAATGGCTGTACTTCAGTCTCGTTTGGACCAGCTTGAGATGAAGCGTCAAGCTGAGATGAATTCAGAGCACACACAATCTCTCACTGACATAAATTTTGGAAGCCAAATACGGTCTTATGTGCTTCACGTATGCATTTGTTCATTTTTTATATGCTATGGGAGTTATCCTGGATTCCACAGATACCCTAACTGCTTTTTTAACTATTCTGTTTGCAGCCATACCGAATGGTGAAGGATCATCGGACTGATTTTGAGGTTTCCCATCCCGATTCTGTCCTGGAAGGTGATCTAGACGGCTTCATCTTAAGCTTCTTGTCCGCCTCTCTAGACAAAGATGAAGATGCTCACCTGTAGACTATTAACATCTTGATCAACCGGCCAACTAATGCTGGAAATTCGAGTTCCTCGATTAATGGATTTCCATGATAGGGGATTTTTTAGCCTCAGATAATGAGGATATCATGTAGCAGATGTTACCTTTCTCTGTCAAAGCTTAGAAGTCTTCCATTGAGATTTATGGAAAAATGACATCCTTTCACAATTTTGAACTGGTTATCTGGCAAGCTCGATTATAGGTATTCTTTGAGATGAGGAGCATAATTATATAATTGTATGTTAAAGTTCTTGATAATAATATCTTTGAGTTAAGGAACGTTGTAATTAATATTTTAGGCTGACCATTAAATGAACAAATTGCCTATTACATGAAGCATAAATGGAAATATTGAGACAGAGGTGTGGTCATACTAAAATATATAAATTATAAATGAATTAATAGACTAGTTAAATTAAGAGACTTATAAGTTGGTGGTTGGACATACCTAAAGAACCTTTTGAGGTAGAGATATTAACCCATCTTGACTACGAATGTTTTTCGAGCAGCATCTCGTTGCGCTTTCGTGCTGAGCCGTCAGAGCACAATAGTGGGTGCTAAATTAAAGGTGCATCAATGTATACCTTCTTCCTCGTGCGCTTATCTAGCAGCTTCACCGGTCATTGGTTTGCCATTCTCTGTGTCTATAACTAGAAACTATAGTATAACATCGGCTACTAGCTCCCATCAATGTTGTTCTTGTTATGGTGGTTCTACTAAACCATTTCCTAAATGCACAACTCAATTTTTTTTAAAATTAATTTTCCTATTTTCCCCTTGTGCTTGGGAATTTCATAAAAATTTGAAAAATATTACATAATTACTTTAGGTTCTTAGGATTTCAACTATCAACTGATCAAGAACTTGAAACAAAAGAAAGAAACGACAAGCATGAAAAGTGAATTCTTGCAGCGGGAAATGTGCAACTAGATTTGTTGAGAGAACAAAAAACAAAACCTTATTCGATGGGTTGGACCTATTTAATGGGCTGGAATTTGAACCTTAATATTAAGAAATCGACAAAAACAGCATTAACTGCTTGTAAGATGGTTGGGAATATTGACAAAAATAGCATTAACGACCACATAAATAAACACAAATTAGACTTTTGAATTGTAGCGTTTATTGGTTTGAATTGAATATTATCTCAGTTTATCTTAAAATGGACAGATAATGAGAACTTTAGTTTCGATTCATTGATTTTTCTAGCAACGTAATGCATGTTTGGTATAAAATATTGGATAGAATTAAATAAGAACGACAAACTTTCCTGCACCCAGCTTAGCCTCGAATACTAAACGGGTTTGAGTTAGGGAACATACTGTTGGAAATGGTGCCAAGCGGGTGGGTCAATTTTGACCACAATTTCAAGTGGGA